TTATCTCTGGGGAAGAAGAGAGAAAATGGAACCCAGAGAGTGGGACCCAGGGGGCCATACCTCTCTAAATATTTTAATTATTTCAAAAATATAAAGTAAATATGCAAAGTGTTAAGATGCAGCAAGCTGGCTAGAACATGGGTGTTTTTGTATTATTCTCTCTAGTTTTCTCTGCGGTTGAAAGTTTCACTTAAAAGATAAGCTCTGAAGCCAAATGATGTGGAAATGTTGGCTTTGCCTTACAAATAGGGTGACCAACATCCATGTACATAAATCTTCACACACACTGCCCATTTCCTTGAAACAAATTCCTAGAATTAAAACAAATGGCCCAAAGGGTACAAAAATTGTTAAGCCTTTTATACACCCTCCCAAGAACTGTACCAATTTACCCTTCCATAGCATTATTTTTTATTACAGATTTGGTAATGTAAGTGGCAAAAACTATTATATTAATACTCATTCCTTACGTTACTGGAAGAACATTTTCTAACATTGCCCATGTGTATTTCTTTTGTGAATTTCTTTGTCTTTAGCTCATTTTTAACTGAGATGCTTATCTATATTGATCTATAAAAACTTAAAATGTTATTTTTCTCACATTAATATACGAATTTTTTTTCAGTTCCTCAGTTACCTTTAATATTTATTGATGAGGGCTTTTTTGGTTCTTTCTGATGTACAGGCGTTTGGGGAATCATCTCGTTTTTTTTTTGAGATGGAGTCTTACTCTGTCACCAGGCTGGAGTGCAGTGGCGAGATCTCGCCTCACTGCAAGCTCCGCCTCCCAGGTTCACACCATTCTCCAGCCTCAGCCTCCCGAGTAGCTGGGACTACAGGCGCCTGTCACCATGCCTAATTTTTTGTTTTAGTAGAGACCGGGTTTCACCATGTTAGCCAGGATGGTCTCAATCTCATACATCGTGATCCACCCGCCTCGGCCGCCTAAGTGCTGGAATTATAGGCGTGAGCCACCTGTCCGGCCTCACTCTTTTTCTAGGGGATGAGGTAACGCAGGTGGCAAGGTAAAAGTGGAAAACACAGAGTATACGAAAGATACACAGTGAAGTCAACTCTCCCTTCCTCCTGATGAATGACCAATCCTCCCAATTTGCCCTGAACTGGGGAACTCACACTAACACTGGAACAGCTCTTGACACACTGGAACAGTTACCCTTCTAGCCACCTGGTTCCCTTCTCAGCAGCAATATTCTTACCAGTTTCTTAAATAGTCTTCAAAGATATTACACATTACAAGAGTTTTAAACATTTATTTTCAAATCAATTGTAGAGAATATGAATGTCAATCCACAAACTTGCATTTGCAAGAAATGTCTATCACTTTGCTTTTTTGGAAATGAAGTCTCGCTGTCACCCAGGCTGGAGAGCAATGGCACCATCTTGGCTCATTGTAACCTTCGCCTCAAGAGTTCAAGCGATTCTGTCTCAGCCTCCTGAGTAGCTGAAATTACAGGCGCCCACCACCAAACTCAACTAAAATTCCGTATTTTTAGTAGAGATGGGGTTTCACCACGTTAACCAGGCTGGTCTCAAACTCCTGACCTCAAGTGATCCACCTGCCTCAGCCTCCGAAAGTGCTGGGATTACAGGTGTGAGCCACCACGCCCGGCCCACTTTAATTAAAAATCACTACACGTGTGAGCCACCACGCCCGGCCCACTTTAAAAATCACTACACGTGTGAGCCACCACGCCCGGCCCACTTTAATTAAAAATCACTACACGTGAGAGCCACCACGCCCGGCCCACTTTAATTAAAAGTCACTACACGTGAGAGCCACCATGCCCGGCCCACTTTAATTAAAAATCACTACACGTGTGAGCCACCACGCCCGGCCCACTTTAATCAAAAATCACTACAGGTGTGAGCCACCACGCCCGGCCCACTTTAAAAATCACTACACGTGTGAGCCACCACGCCCGGCCCACTTTAATTAAAAATCACTACACGTGTGAGCCACCATGCCCGGCCCACTTTAATTAAAAATCACTACACGTGTGAGCCACCACGCCCGGCCCACTTTAATCAAAAATCACTACAGGTGTGAGCCACCACGCCCGGCCCACTTTAAAAATCACTACACGTGTGAGCCACCACGCCCGGCCCACTTTAATTAAAAATCACTACACGTGTGAGCCACCACGCCCGGCCCACTTTAATTAAAAATCACTACACGTGTGAGCCACCACGCCCGGCCCACTTTAATCAAAAATCACTACAGGTGTGAGCCACCACGCCCGGCCCACTTTAAAAATCACTACACGTGTGAGCCACCACGCCCGGCCCACTTTAATTAAAAATCACTACACTTGTGAGCCACCACGCCCGGCCCACTTTAATTAAAAATCACTACACATGAGAGCCACTATGCCCGGCCCACTTTAATTAAAAATCACTACACGTGTGAGCCACCACGCCCGGCCCACTTTAATCAAAAATCACTACAGGTGTGAGCCACCATGCCTGGCCCACTTTAAAAATCACTACACGTGTGAGCCACCACGCCCGGCCCACTTTAATTAAAAATCACTACAGGTGTGAGCCACCACGCCTAGCCCACTTTAATTAAAAATTACCACCTTCTGTTTTTTTTTTTTTTTGAGATGGCCTCTCGCTCCATCCAGCCTGGAGTGCTATAGCACTATCTCTGCTCAGTGCAAATCACCTCCTGGGTTCAAGTGATTCTCCTGCCTCAGCATCCCAGGTAGCTAGGATTACAGGCATGTGCCACCACACCCAGCTAATTTTTGTACTTTTTAATAAAGACTGGGTTTTAACCACGTTGACCAAGCTGGTCTTGAACTCCTGACCTCAAGTGGTCCGCCCACCTCGGCCTCCCAAAGTGCTTGGATTACAGGCGTGAGCCACCGTGCCTGGCCTAAGGATCTAATGATCTTGGATGATCTTGCCATCCTTAACTACATATTCATAGGTTAACAAAAGAACCCAGGGGTTTAGCGGGTGCTCGGGAAACAGTCAAGGGCCTGAAATATTCACCCCATCCCACTTGCTGCTTCCTTCTTCCCAACCCCATTGTGACTCCTCTACTCACCAGCAGCGCAGCGACTTTCCTCTGGCATGGCATGCAAGCTCTGCTTCAGCTCCATCATGAGCACCAAGGCACCAGAGGCCAGACAGGAGCAGCCCAGGTGCGGGGACACCACAGAAGGAAGGCCCCAGGGCAAGGAGGAGCCCCAGCAGCCTGTCTCCTTCCCTTTCAATGAGCCGTTTTTCTTCTCCAACCTCCCATCAATCAGCATGTCTCCAAAATTGGTGGGTTCTTGGCCTGCCCGACTTCAAAAATGAAGCTGCAAACCCTCGCGGTGTTACAGTTCTTAAAGGCAGTCCAGAGTTTGTTCCTTCAGGCGTTCAGATGGGTCTGGAGCTTATTCTGGTGGGTTCATGGTCTCGCCGACAGGAGTGAAGCTGCAGACTTTCACGGTGAGTTTCACAGCTCTCAAAATCAGCTATGTCTGGAGTTGTTTGTTCTTCCCTGTGGGTTCGTGGTCTCGCTGGTTTCAGGAGTAAAGCAGCAGACCTATACGCAGTAAGCGTTATAGGTCAAAAAGGCAGCGTAGATCCAAACAGTGAGCATCAGAGAAGAAGGAAAAAAAAAAAAAAAAAAAAAAAAAAAAAAAAAAAAAAAAAAAAAAAAAAAAAAAAAAACCCAGAAAAGAGCAAAAATAACAAACCCTCTGCGTTGACAAAAAAGGACCAGAACAGGTTACCTCAAGTTGCCGCCGGCAGCCTGCTTTTATTCCCTTATCTGGCTCCACCCACATCCTGCTGATTGGTCCGTTTTACAGAGAGCTGATTGGTCTACTTTACAGAGAGCTGATTGGCCCATTTTGACAGAGTGCTGATTGGTGCGTTTACAATCCCTGAGCTAGACACAGAGTGCTAATTGGTGCGTTTACAATCCTGTAGCTAGACACAGAGCGCTAGACAGAAAAGTTCTCCGGGTCCTCACTAGGTTAGCTAGATACAGAGTACTGATTGGTGTATTTACAAACACTGAGCTAGACACAGGGTGCTGATTACAATCCCTTAGCTAGACCTAAATGTTCTCCAAGTCCCCACTAGATTCAGAAGCCCAGCTGGCTTCACCTAGTGGATCCCGCCCTGGGGCTGCAGGTGGAGCTGCCAGCCAGTCCGGAGCAGCCCCTGCACTTCTCAGCCCTTGGGCGGTCGATGGGACCAGGCGCCACGGAGCAGGGGGCGGCGCCCATCGGAGGATACTGAGGCTCAGCCAGGGTAAGGGCCTTGCCTAGGATCCCACTGCTACCAAAGGCAGCCAGCATCTGAATCTACCTGATTGCAAAGTCTGTGTTTTCTCCACTATACCTGTAACTCTTCCTAAGCCTTTTCTTCTTTCCTTCCTCCCTTCACCACCCCGCCTTTTCTTGCCTTTAAATCACTTCTGGGTGTCTCTGTGGCCCTCTCATCTTTTCGTGCATTTTTCTTTTTTCTTTTTTTTAATTTTTGAGATGAAGTCTTGCTCTGTCGCCCAGGCTAGAGTGAAGTGGCCCAATCTTGGCTCACTGCAAGCTCTACCTCCTGGGTTCACGCCATTCTCTCACCTCAGCCTCCCGAGTAGCTGGGACTACAGGCGCCTGCCACCACGCCCAGCTAATTTTTTGTTTTTGTATTTTTAGTAGAGATGGAGTTTCACCGTGTTAGCCAGGATGGTCTCGATCTTCTGACCTCATGATCTGCCCGCCTCGGCCTCCCAAAGTGCTGGGATTACGGGCGTGAGCCACCGCTCCCGGCCTTTTCATGCATTTTTCTGTTTGTCTTTCTCCTCCAGTCTGAGCTCTCCCTAGAACAAGACCTTGCCTTACTCATCTCTGTATCTTCCAAAGTGCTCTGTCTGGAGCATAGCACATGGTAAGTCCTCCATAAATGTTTGTTGAACTCCCGGCTAATAGAACAATGATGTGGGTTAATTAGCATATAATATTAAAATGTAGTTACAGAACTGAAACTGCTGATTTTAAAAAATTGCTGAGTACCCGAGGAAGTTGTTGCCTGCTCTCCAAATCGTCAGCACAAAAGACAGCTCTCGTCACTGTGGTTGGGGAAATTGCACAGTGAAAGTCACAGCATGGCTCTGCAAGGTGGCAGGGACACCAGACTGGGGTCCCATTGCCATGTAGTATTCTGCGCCCGTAACTCGTATGACACTCTAGCACTATTTCTAAATAGCACTCAAGTGTCTATTTTATCAGAGTGTAACACACTTGGCTGGAATGTTAAGATTACTTTCTCTGAATACAGGGGAACAGAGATGAATGCGGTTGGAATCCTGCCCCCAAGGACTCCTGATCTCCTAGGAAGAAAGCTGCATAAACCCACGGTGGCAGAGGAGTGCACGGCCGCTGCAGGGAGGCACCGAGGCCGCGGGCACAGGCTGCAGAGTGACCGACTCTCCAACCCCTTCCACCACTCTGCACACCGAGAATCGCAGTCATCGCAAGTACTATTTTCTCCGGAAAACTGGAAGTCAGAGGCCAAGCCATCAAATTTTACATTTGACAGTTTAAGCCTAGTAATTGTAATCAATATTTTATGTATTATGCAACTGATTAATTAATAAATATGAAAATCATCCAAGGAAGTTTTTCTGACGGTATTTTCATGGAGTGTGCTAGTTTTCCTGAAATTATACAAATAAGGTTTTTTAATGACTAAAAGGTTACTATTTGAAATTAAAGCTGTAGCCATTAGCCAACAGCCCTAAGCTCCGTGAGCGTATCTGAGCTACATTTTCATGCAGTCTGGGGGCCTGAGAGCACTGGCCTGATGCTCCCAAGTGCCCGGAGCACTTCAACTCTTCTGTGACCCATGGTGACTTCTTCCCTCCTCTTATGTCATGCCATTCATTTGGCAGGGACTCACAAGATATCTTTGGAAAATGTTTGTATTTTTTACAAATGTGGCATGTGTTACTGCCTTATCTTCCCATCAGATTACTAGTTCAATGAAAATAGGAATGGAATTTGGAAAGCACACTGCCTTCCCAGACCACACCCACCTCCAGGCCTGAGGCAGGACCCTTAGCAGAAGGAACCCTCCCAATCCGTGCATCTGGCTCCAAGCTGGAACCCCGAAGGTCCTCACTAAGCCACACCCCGCCGCCTTGCACTGGAGCTTCCTACAGCAGGAGGTGGTGTACCGGAGGGGGCATTCCCACTCCAGGGAGCACCCCAAGGGCAAAAAGGAGCCCTGGGCCCTTACACCACAGAGGTAGAGCTCTATACCTAGAAGTCTCCCTGTAGCAGTCTGTGAAATAAAAATAGAGGGTACATTGAGCAAGAGCTGTACACACAACGCTAGGGGGTCAGAGGAGAGAGAACTCAGTTCATCCAGGATGATCAACACTGAAGGCTTCAGGAAGGGGTTTGGCCTGAGCAGGGTGGGTAGAGTTTTTTTAATAATCTTAATTACTTTTTTATTATTATAAACGTGACGTGATCATTACAAAAAAAACAGAAAATATGGACAAATAAAAATCACTCAAAAGCCCACTTTACAAAAAATAAAAAAAAAAAACACCATCAATAGTCGAGGCCAGGTGCGGTGGCTCACGCCTGTAATCCGAGCACTTTGGGAGGCCGAGGCGGGTGGATCACCTTAGGTCAGGAGTTCGAGACCAGCCTGGCCAACATGGTGAAACCCCATCTCTACTAAAAATACAAAAATTAGCTGGGCATGGTGGCACACGCCTGTAATCCTGGCTACTCAGGAGGCTGAGGCAGGAGAAATGCTTGAATCCAGGAGGCAGAGGTTGCAGTGAGCCGATATCGTGCCATCACACTCCAGTCTGGGCGATATGAGCAAAAATTCGTCTTTAAAAAAAAAAAAGTTGAGCATATTACTTTTCATTTGTAAGAAATGTATATGCCACCAGGTGCAGTGGCTCATGCCTGTAATCCCAGCACATTGGGAGGCCAAGGCAGGAAGATCGCTTGAACCCAGAAGTTTGTGACCAACCTGGGCAATGTAGCAAGACCCCCATCTCTACAAAAAAATTAAAAATACACCAGGCATGGTGGTGCATCCCTTTAGTCCCAGGTACTCAAGAGGTTGAGCTGGGAGGATTGCTTGAAACTGGAAGGTTGAGGTTGCAGTGAGCCGTGATCCCACCACTGAACTCCATCCCCAGCCTGGGTGACAGGAAGACCTCTCCAAAATCAATCAATTAAAAAAAGGTAAAAATTTAAAATATGTGATTAAAACACATATTTGCAATATAATTTTTATTTTTTTTTTTGAGGCAGAGTCTTGCTCTGTTGCCCAGGCTGCAGTGCAGTGGCGCCATCTCAGCTCACTGCAACCTCCACCTCCCGGGTTCAAGAGAGTCTCCTGCCTCAGCCTCCCAAGTAGCTGGGATTACAGGCACGCGCCACCATACCCGGCTAATTTTTTTTTTTTTTTTGAGATAGAGTTTCACTCTGTTGCCCAGGCTGGAGTGCAGTGGCGTGATCTTGGCTCACTGCAAGCTCCACCTCATGGGTTCATGCCATTCTGCCTCAGCCTCCCAAGTGGCTGGGACTACAGGTGCCCACCACCACACTCAGCTAATTTTTTGCATTTTTAGTAGAGACAGGGTTTCACCATGTTAGCCAGGATGGTCTCGATCTCCTGACCTCATGATCTGCCCGCCTCAGCCTGCCAAAGTGCTGGGATTACAGGCGTGAGCCACCACTCCCAGCCTATAGTTTTTAAATAAAATTTTCCTGTATAAAGGGTTTTGTAATCTTTTCTGTTTTGAATATATCATAAATACCTTTCAATTCTTTGATACTTTTGTATTTTGTTGCTTTTGTTCACTGTATAAAAGTTCACTTGCTGATATTCTACAATTTATGTAAATAGTTCCATATTATAGAATATTGATTTAGGTTAGTGCTACTTTTTTTTTTAATTAACAATGCTGCAGTGAACATCTCTGAAGCTATATCCATGCACAACCCTCAGCATTACTCCCACAGAATGAAATCCTGTATGTAGAGCACTGGGTCAGCCACCATCCACAGGTTAAGTAAGGCCTTTGACAATAAGGCCAAACAGCCCCCCTGAAAAATAGCAATGGTTTGCAATGGTTGCAATAGTTTCACTACCCATTTGCTGAGTAGGATTTTGCCAGGCGGAAATAAAGGCAAAGGGCACATCAGCTGCAAGGAAGTAAGTAAAAGCTTAGAAGCCGGCAAGCTCCGGACACGTTCAATCAGTAAGTAGGTGAATAAGCCAGTTGTTACAGCCTATAAAGGAGACTCACAGAAGAGACCAGAGACAGGAATAAGAGGCAAGTCCTCAGGGACCTTGAACCAGTGTAGGGGTTTGTGTTCACCCTGTGACACCAGATGAGGCCCTCTGGCAGCAGTGGCATGTGTTGCGAGAGGTCAGATGGAGAAAGGGAGATCCGTCAGTGGTTGACGGAGCCTTCCCGGAGAGGGACGACAAGGGCCTGGAGGACACCATGGGCTTGACAAAAGAATAGCAGATACAGCCAACCACATGACACATTATGGTAGCAAAATAACGGCCAAAGATATCTACATCCCATCTCAAACCTCTGAATGCTACCTTACATGGCAAAAGGGGCTTTGCAGGTGTGACCAAGTTAAGGGTCTTGAGATAGGGAGATTATCCTGGCTTATCCCAGAGTATCCTGGTGGACCCGACATAATCACAAGAATCGTTATAAGAGGAGCAGCAGGGTCAGCATCAGGGAAGGAGATGTGATGATGCGAGCAAAGGTCATGCAACGCAGGGCCACGAGGCAAGGAATGTGTGCCCCTGGAAGTGGATAGAGGCGAATAACAGGTTCTCCCATAGAACCCACAGAAGGAATACAGCTCTTCCAACACCTTGATTTTGACCCAATTCGAGCTTCTTACAATTACGTATTGTAAGATAAATTTGTGTTGTTTTAGGCCACTGGACTTGGGGTCATCTGTCACTGCAGCAATAGAAAACTAATATAGGCAGAGATATCATGCCACACAACCGGCTCCCCTGCCCTTGTGGAGGGTGTCCCAAGGCAACTTTGCCAAATAATTGAGAGGACAATTAGTGCTGTGAGGCTCAGGGAAGAAGGATCCCTGAGGGCCACAGTATGAGGGCCATTAGAACTTGGGCTGATGTAAACAGCACTAAGCACAAACGGGAAGGGTGTGTGACCTCCGGGGGTGCATGGGGCAGGGCTGCTCAGAGGCAGGGGGATGGGTAAGTTGACCTCTGCCTGTCTGAGGAGTAAGTTCTCCAGGTAACTAGCACCAAAGCAAAAGAACCTCAGGGGAGGAAAGGTTTTCTAGGAGGCCTCGTCTTTGCCTTTTCTTTGTGTATTTTAGCATCTCTCTTATGTAGATTCTGCAGGAAAGAGAACTTCCTTGGCAGTATGCGCCAAATAAATAAACGCAGCAGTATTTCTCAGGCCAGACAACCAGCTCACATAGAGTTCTAGCCCCCAGTGGAGAGGAAGCTGTCCTCCTCTGCTTCCTCTCTTCTAAAGACAAACATCTTGTGCAAGAATAGCATGCTCACTTCCTTCACAATCATCAGAATAGAGAGGACCTACCCACACTACAATGTCAGAAGAATGGTGCAACTTCAGACTCATGTTCCCAGGTTCTCGGAAACGCTGTCACCACATTATTGCTGCTATCGAGCTACAGAGGACTCGGACCATTACATCTGGTGGCGTTCCTGGCCCCAGTAGCACAGCAGGATTCCTGACCCCAGAATCATTCTCTCAAGACCTGGGGTTCTAATTTGAGAGACAGAAAGTTACAGCAACTCAAATTTGTATGCATCTTGCAAAATAGCTTCGAAATACATAAATTGACAATTGACTTCAAAAACACTTTCTCAATTATCCATAGGTCAGGCAGATAAAAATCAGTAAAGATAGAAATTTTAAAAACAATTATCAGCCTAGGCAACAAAATCAGACTTCATGTCTAAAAAAAAAAAAGAAAGAAAGAAAAAATTAGCCAGGTGTGGTGGCACACATCTGTCATCTTAGCTACTCAGGAGGCTGAGGCAGGAGGATCGCTTGAGCCCCGAAGTTCAAGGCTGCAGTGAGCTATGATTGCACTGATGCAGGGCAGGTAAGCTCCCAAATTGGGACTTAGCCCTGGAAGATTCTTGGCTTTGCTCAGGAAAGAATTCAAGAGCCAGCTGGTGGTAGAAGAAAACAGCTTTATGGAGGCAGCAGTGTGACAACTTCATGACTGCTCCCGCAGAGCAGGGCTAATCCCTAGGCAATGTGTTGAGAGCACCAGCTGAGGGGCAGGTTGACAGTCATACATATACCCACTTTGAGTTACTTGCAAATTAAGGTATGGGTTATTCAGAAATTTATAGAAAAATGGTGGTAACTTTCAGGTCGTTGCCATGGAAAGGGGCGGTAATTTCTGGGTGTTGCCATGGCAATGGTCAACTGGCATGGAACTGGTAGGCATGTCTTTTTTTTTTCCCTGGAGCCGGAGTCTCGCTCTGTCACACAGGCTAGAGTGCAATGGTGCAATTTCAGCTCACTGCTACCCCCCTCTCCCAGGTTCAAGTGATTCTCCTGCCTCAGGCTCCTGAGTAGCTGGGATTACAGG